GTAGCTGGGACTCCATTATTGTCGGTGATGTAACCAATACTACAAGGAATGAAACACTCTATTGTCTGTATGGATGTTAGGGCCAGCGTGTGCTTCGCTATGACAGAATAAAAAATATATTTATTTACCTCTTGCACTAATTGCGACGCCTTCAACGAACAACTCTGTAGACATCACTGATTCAGTGCCTGAGTCTCTCGGTTGAAATCTGTTAAAAAGCAGTTAAACTTGTGTACATTTTAAAATATACAACAAACAGGAAATGAAAACCTTTTAAGACTTAACCTTAAAGTTTTGCTGTATTGGTGCTTATCCTGGTCGATCTGGGGCGGACATTTTCCACACTAGAACAAAACAAAAAGGATAACAGCACTTTAGGATTGATTTTTACTCATATCAGGGTGTTTGGATTTGATCGCATCTGACATGAGTTTACCTGCTGACACCAATTTTCCACAGCCATCCTCAGCTCTTGCATATGGTAAATAGCGTTGTTGACACATGGTGAGGGACTGTTGAGCAAAGCACAAGTGCGACGTCGACCAGAGCAAACGACTTGAAGATCTGCTTGATCTTGAGGAACACAAACAAAGCTTTAATAGAAGCAAAGAAGAGCCAACCATATTTTATGTTTCACATTCCCTAATGGCACAATTCCCCTGAAATATATGGTAAATAACCTATAAAAAACCTCCCATTAATGAAAAGCAAATCATAAAAAAACAGACTCACTAAACTTCTTTAACTTTATTTTGAAGTAATTAGGAAAACGTGTTTAGCTGTGAGATGTTCTTTGGATATTTTCTGTCTCTGTTATTCAGTTTGCATTGACTGCAATATATTGGAGGCATCAGTGGAAGAGCAGGGACAACAAAATTGAACATCTCAAGACAAACCCAAGGGCACATTTCTTAGTGGTGAAAGGACGCCATCTGGCTGAGAAAAAGGGTAAAAAAACAACAGTGGTGCAGTATTACAATATACACATCAATGTGCAGATTGCTGTACAGATTGTTGCCTATATGGGGTGAATTCAAAGAAATTAGTTAGCGGCAGTAAGCTCACTATACTGTATCTTATTTCATCTAAGAGTATACACTACCATAAACAGTATTAGATAAAAAGGTAGGAAACAACCACCAGTGTTACAGACAAGAAAATCCTGTATATATACATAGTGTTAGTTAAATAAAACTAATAGTGGTTCTTTGGCCTGTAATCATAGGGGAACCACTTTTGGTGCAATAATTTATCACATCATAATGTGATACTCAGTTTTTTTCCTTTTCCAGCGAGGCAGCAATACGATTCCGTAGTATGTACCCAAAATGTAGATGTTACAAAGTGTGAGCAGCAACCTAAACATGTAGCTTGATTGTTGATGATTTGAAAAAGGTTTAAGTGTGGTTTTGATTGGTGTTTCTTGTACCTGACCAATTCAAGTCCAAACTTCTTTTCACCTGTACTCAACTTTGCAGAGTGAGGACCAACCCTAGATGTAGGATCCACTACCTGTGTGTGCACCACCAGACATTTGTATCCCTGTCTTGGCGAACATACAACAGTGATATTTGGTGTGGTCCGGCATCTATGGGGTAGTTACTATGCCCCTTCACTGCACTTCTGTGCACTGAGGGCCAATAGCTACAACAAAGAACTGTAAAGGACCTGCAGACAAATACCTACTCTAATCAGGAAGGAAAGGGTAGGTCACAAACTCTTTATTTGAACCTAGTTAAAGCCTTCCCACATGAGGTGACTCACAGTACCATTATTCTCCATTAATTAGTCCAATGACCAGTGAGTGAGCAGACCAATGCAGGGGCAGAGAAGAGAGAAAACTGAGGGGGGGACCAGAAATAAAGGCCATCTGTTGCCGAGCAGTTTAGATGAATAATACACACTGATAGAACCAGGTGGGGCAGCAAAGTGGTAAGGGAATATGTCAGCGGTGGGCTGAATTAGCTCAATATAATGGCAGGGTGTATTATAGAGCAGGCCCATGTGAATCTGCCGTTTGCACAGTGATAGATTCGACAGCTATGTCTTCAACATGGTTCAGTATCATTGCATTGCAAGTAGAGGGGTCAGTTTTTTATGCGCACATTTCTGGAAAAATATGTAGCAAGGACCACCGCCAAAAAAATCAGTCAATATCAATAGTTATCAGGAAAAATGTCACGTTTATTTCTTTTAAGTTCAAGGACTGATTTTAGCTCCAGGGTGAAGGTTGTGGTTTTAAACTCTTCTTTATCAGCAGAGAATGAAAAACACTTGATAAACAGGTAGAACATTAAAATATAGAAATACCTTCTCCCCATGTTTGCACAATACATTTCAATATATCGAGAGATATTGAAATTTGAATACATTGCAATTGATGAAAATATTGTGATATAGCTATAGTTCCCAGCCCTGGTTGATACAGTAGAATTTAAAATAGCTCAGGTCAATCTATCATTATCTGGCTCTCTAAAATGAAAGGAAGTCACTCTATGATTTGAGAGAAATATTCAAGTTAAAAAACTAAATTTGAGGAAAACTAATCATCGTATTTCAGTTCAGAGAGAATTTCCGCCAGAGTGATGTTGGGAAATTAAAGTACTGTGCTATTTCTAATCAAATGATTGATGATGATGATCATTTATCAAATATTTTCATCCATATACTGTATATGTAGTGGGAAGACTGTAATTGCCATATAATAATTATTAAATTAAATGGAAGGGGAGCATTCTGTTCTATTATTAATCTCTCATAACATCTACAATTGAAAATAGTTTCTCAAAATGCAAATCTGTTACATCACATATATCAATATTCATTTCTCTCTATGAATCCAGTAAACAGCTGAGGTGTGTGAGGTTGAAGTTGATTTATTCAAAACTAGCATAGTCACTAAACACCAACAGCTAACTGCAGTTAGCTGGGTCAAACTTTAGCTAACTAGTAGCTCTCCTCACCTGGTTGACTGGGTCGTCCTTCTCTTGATGGATATCTGAGCGGCTCCACGTCGGGCATCACTTCCCTCCTCAGTGTCGATGTTCGTCCAGCTCCCTGTGGAACAGCACAGACACGTTGACCTGCATCACCTGAGCTCCAAACCCCAAACTCCCTGACAAAGTTGGCTAACGTCAGCAGCTAATGCCTTCACTCATCTAACTGATGGCTAACGTGAACTTAACGTGTAATTAACGAGGCTGATGGTTAATTAATGAGCTCTGGCGGTGGGGGTGGGGTGGAGGGGGGGTCGTTGTCATGGCGGAAAGTGAAAGCGATAAATGTCTGTCTATATCAACTCACTGGTGTTGTCACAGTGTTTGGTCTCCGCTGCTCTGCTGTGTGTCCTGGTTGGTTTCCGCTCCTCTTCTGTGTCTTGATTTAAAAAAATAAAAGTTTCTTCTGTTTAAAGTTTTCTGAGAATGAATCCACCGGACTTTCTGTCAATCTGAGGCGGCGGTTGCCAGGCAACAGTGGGCCGTGGGGCTGCGAGGAGAGAGCGAGCTGCGTTCAAGAGCAGCAGTGAATCTCTGTGCTTTTTGGGTGAGCAGCTCTCAGCGGTGATTCCTACTTGTTTTAGAAGAAGTTATGCACGTTTTGGTTAAAAATAAATAAAATATATAGAGAAGGATAGAATGAAGACTTTATTTCATACAGAGGTGGGAGTAAATACATGTGGATGTAATTCAGCTGCTTAGCAATGTTCATGTTGGCCTTGTTTGTGTTTACAGAGAAAGAAGTGTTGCAAGTGGCGTTCTGATCTTTAACCTGTTTGGAATTGATATTACTACTCTATGGAAATACTCACTGACTAGTAAAAATACTATATTAAAACTGTTACATACATTTTCCTAACTTACGTGTACATTTTCACCAACGTATGTACATACATTTCAAGCAAATGTCATAATTTACTTGTTTAAAGTTGTAATTGCACTGCATGTATTTCTATCATGTTAATCATTATTAGAATTATAATTATTATTAGTAGGAGTAGTAGATGGAGGAGGAATACAGTTAAGTAGTGAATGTGCCTATCAGTGCTCCGCTATTATATGTTATACATATCTTATTTCTTTATCACTTTATGTTCTATTGGGTCACTTGATCCACAGTACTGCATCATGTTCCTCAGGCCTTATTTCACTGCAAACATGATGACATGTCACAGTAGGAACAGGACAGATGTTGCTGATAACATTAACAATGGCTCTGCAGTTCAAGTGTCCCCAGTAAGACATGGCAGCGTGACAGGGAGTCAGCATGCACAATACCAGCAACCTGAACCTGAAGCAGCTCAATAGGGATCGGCCATCATCCATTTACAGCTGTACAACTGCGCTTTTTTTCTACTGAATGTCATGTTTTTGTATCATCATTATCCTGTCAAAAACACTTCATGAATAAGAAACACAATCATTTCCTCAGCTTTGTTACACTGTGTGTTGTGGTTGATTTAAAACTAAGGAAAAAGAAGGAGAATTTTCTCAACAAGTAAAGCATGTAAGATTTAGCTGAAGGGTATCTATTGGCAAAAACTGAATATTAAATAATCCTAGTGATCACTAGTGTGTGATCATCTGAACTGTACTGTATGTTGTTTTCTTCGTTAAGAATGAGCCCTGTATGTTTAGATATTTTATATTCACATCGGGAGTGGGCCCTCTGTACGGAGGTCGCCATGTTTTTTTTACAGTGAAACTAAACATCTATTGAGTTTCTATGAAAAATGAAGGCTGCCACAGGTTCACTTTCATGTTTGGAATCGGAGGGTGAGGTGAAAGATTTTCAGCTGCAATATACAACTTCCCCACTAGGTGTCATTAAATTCTATACACTGAACCTTTAAATAATCATCCATGAGAAATATTGATCTTTTTTTTTCTGTATTGCATCAACGTTTACAACACGTGTAAAGCAAAGTATATATAGAATAGAAATATATAAAACACGGATAGGTATAGTCATATATACATATGCATGAAAAAAATAAAATAAAATCAAGCAAAATAGAATAATATCAAATAGATACAAAATAAAATAAAGATATAAAAACAAGGGTACGTGTGATAGTGTTTTTTTTTTTTTGCATCCAACATTTTGCAGCCGGACCACAACACTGACGCAAGTGAAGAGGTCCCGCATTACGTCATGGTGCAGGCCACACGGTGGAGGTGAACGCAGCCTGTGTGCAGATCAGTCTGTCTGCGCGCTGCCAGGAAATTTCCACAACACGAGCTCTGCGTGGATCGAGCGGCGGCGGAGCGTCCGCTTCTTGCAGCGATGCAGCAGCGAAACACACCAAAGAAGAAGAAGCCCTGATCGCTCCGCAGTGCGTGGACACGACCCGCTGACGAGATCCCCCCCCCACCGGAGAGAAACAAACACAGGGATGTTGCATGACATGCCTCGGAATTAATTGTGGTGAGTCTTGTTGCCGCAGCTGCCGGAGAATCTGGCAGGGAGACACGGCAGCGACCTTAACCTACTTTGTCACTGTGGGTGAAAATGAGTTTCAAGTTTCAGGATATGCGAGGATTTAAAACGCGGTGAATGGAGGCGCAGTTTGCGGGCAGATGTTTGTGTGTGTGACAGTGGGAGCTTTGTCTCTCGTCCTTACAGGTGTTTCTCTACAGCGTGACAGGTGACGCCTGAGCCGAACATTGTACCACAAGGTGCCTGTTGCCTGTCTGGCTTCCCCTGTTGTATTTGGCCAGTGCTAATCTGGTGGTATTTACATTTTCAAAACATCTTATTGTATTTTGTGCAACTTGACACTACTATTCTCAGGATCTCTTTCAAAGCTTATCACTGCTGAGTAACACACCACTCATTTGCACAGATATGCTGTATTTTGTAGCGTTTCTAACATTTTCACAGATTGCTTCTCTGTTTTGGTTTGTCCCACAAACTCAATGGCACCTGCAACCACAAATTAGCAGCTGCACACAGGGGTCTCAAAGTTTTGGCCTTTTTGCAGCCGAAACCATGGTGATCACCACAGAGCACAGGGCCCTCCAGCAGACATCCCTGTCTGGTACGAGATAGTTTCACGACCTATACAGCATCTACTACAGCAACGGCAGCTGGTTTACCCTAATAAGTCAGTGATGTTTTTATTATTATTCGTCCTGTCGGGGAATGGGATTCAGAGGCCACAGCAGTTTACGGTCTTATGATGTAAAAATAACTCTGGCCCAATCAGTGGCAACAGCTGCGATGTACTGTACCGAGCCGGCCAAACACAGATTGCTCTGTAACTCAAGTAAGTGCTTGTGTTTGGATATGTAGCATGACAGTCTGGTCCAAGTACACCAGGGAGAACATACATTAGCAGCACTGTCCTCTGTGTTTTACTGAGCCGCTACAGAAATAGATTCATAATATAAATAACTTACTAATAAGGAATATCTTTGCTGCTGGCCGGAAACCTGGTTGAATATTTTGGCCCAACAGAAGACCAAAGCTCGAGTGAGTCATGCCTGTGAGAGTCTTGGTTTGGTGTTGGCATTGTTTAGCCCCACCAGTTTCTCTGCAGTGTCAATGGTAAATTATGATTTGCTCTTTTAAGGGCAGTTATTTTATTCAATGTTGCCAGTTGTGACAGTGCCACAGAGAGAGAGTAATGTTTGCTGGGCACATGCCAGGAATGAGGTTTGGGGTCTGCAACTAGAGAGTCAGTAAAGCTGTACAAGAATGTAGAGCCTTCTCATTCGTAGTTAAAGATAGAGGCAGCACAGGCTGTATCCTCGCTGACAGTTTCTAATTTCAGATATCTTCGCTCGGGCCCGTCCATTTGGACTTTTGTTGTTAGGAAGTAGTTTTGCACGATTGTTTCTAGAAGGTGAACTAACTCAGCTCAGATAAGGAAGGAGTGCAACCATGGTGCTTTATGAAAGGTATGTTGATCATTTTGTTCCCTGCGCCATCGCCACAACTCCTATTGGCTCTGCTGGTTTAATATCTGCAACAGATTGTATCAATCTCAGTTATTTCCAAGACTCAGACCGCAGAAGGTCACGGAGCTGGCACTCGGGAGGTGTTTGCTTATGATGTGGAGAAGGATATCATTGTTAATCTTTAAAATATCATGCAGTTGTCCATTCATTCACTCTGTAAGTGATGAATGGGCTCGCATAGCCATTACTTTTATGATGATACTAGACTACAATGGACAGTGGCCTGACATTGCTGTATATACCTCTGATACTGCTTTTTACTGATGTAAGTGCATTCATCATTGCCTTAAATGACAAATCACCACTTGATTATTTGCTTTATTACTAAATTGTCATTTGCTACATCACATTTCATTATAAACATGCACTAGTTTCATTCTCATATGTGGACGTTCTGTCTTGTAGGATAAATTAATCCTGTGTTGTGAGGTGATCTCCTGAAATGCTGGACTTGATCCTGAAAATCCAGGTTAACCTAATAACCTATAATCTTTTCCCTCTTAAAGTGGATTTCAAAGATTCATAAGGCTCCATAACTGACTGCTTGTACTGACACAAATCAGAGGGTTGATAGCAAAAGAAAATATTGCACTGTTGTGTCCAGGCTAATTCTGATTTCTGCGCCACAGGTCTCTGCAGCATAATATTTAGGTCCTACAAGTTACTGTCAGTGATTTGAAATTGCATGCCTGAATGATTGTCTTGCAGAAAAAGTGTTTTCAAGCCTTATGTGCCACTGGGCTCCCAACTATCAACCCAGCGAGCGTTATCTCATAGAAGATACTTACTAGCGCACAAAACTCTCCTCTGCAAACTTAACTTGTCTGCAGTGGGAGGTGTGTGTGTGTGTGTTGTGGGGGGGAACTAGCGCTATGTTTTTACGAACAGAGTGGCTGGGATCTTTGCTGCCATGGCAACAAACCACATGACTAGGTGTATTAGATTGCCTCAGACATTGTGCAGCGAGGCATGGTGCAGCATTCTCTCTGCTGCTTTGCCCCTTTGAAAGTCTTGTCCTTTGGTTACTTAAGTCCTCCCCATGGCCGAATTAACCAGTTATGTGGTCCCACATGGCCCCACATTGGGCCATGAGGGACCCCCCCCCCCCATTGTTGTGCATATCAGTCATTCAGGTAATATTACCTCCTACCTCACACAGTCCAATCATCAGCAAACATGACTTGACACACCGAGGCCTGTTAGATTTGGATTCCTCCAAATGTTGATACTTGAAGTTGTAGTCTGAGCTTTTTTACTTTCTTCATACAAGGATGCTTGAACGTCCCTCTGTCTACAGGTTTTCCAAAAGAAGTGGTGGGTTTAACTGCTTTAATATAAGCTGTTGTTAGCATGTTAGCATGTCCATCTAGAACAGTTGCTAACTTCATTAATTTGTTGGGTTGGAGTTTAAATATAAGAAGGAAGCAGTATTCATCACTAGCATATCCAATGTGTAGCATTTCTGATGAAATGAAAAGCTACTCTGCCCACCATTGTCTGAAATTAAAAACCACAGTTATCCTGTTAACTTCATATGTACCTGCCAGTGCTCAGAGATCAGTCACTTACGCAGTGGGAATTTTAATATTTGGGCCCCTTGTAGGTCTGGGGCCCAGGGCAATTTGCTAATCCGGCCTTTGTGGTTACTTGCTACTATCACCTTATTATATTAACAGGGATAAAATGTCCTTTCAATTGAAATGGCACAATTGAAGTGTGAGTTGAATTGGGTCAAATTTTTATTTGTGTGTCATGACAATTGACAATACATCAAGTGTTACATGTACAAAACATGTGGAAAACGAAAAAGAGAAGACACACAAGAAAGAGTCTTTTCTGGCTGCATTGTTATAAACAGTCATTTTTGTGATGCTCCTGAAAATAAAAATAATCAAACAAATGATTTTAGTATGAATTTATACAGAATGAAGCAGGAATTAAAACGAGGTGTACATTGTGTGATTGAGCAATGCCTTCACTTGTATCTTTCTCTGTAAATAACAGGGTTACACACGCTCTGACATTCCTTTCTCTCTTCCCGACCAGAATGATTGAAGACAGCGGGCAGAGAGGTGACAACATGGCAGATAGAAGGCAACTGTTTGTTGAGATGAGTAAGTGCTCTGAGCCACTACAGCTCAGTGTGATCTATCCCCGGCTGTTTTACGCACTGAACATAAAAATGGCAAATTCCTCTCTGTAACTTTCGTGTAAAGCAAAGACGAGCGTCTCCACCTGAGTCAAGCAGATGGATCTTTAACACCGACAGACCGGCCTCCAGTGTGACCTCACGCTCTCCCACTATTTACACAATGTGAAATCCTGTTATGTCTTGTTCTATGTTTTCAAATGCAGCTCAAGTATTGCTATTAGGATTTTTACTCATATTGTTCTTTTCAAAAAAGCAGAGTTAATTTTCTTTGCTGCTATTTTAGCATGTAATCATATGTAAACACAGGTGTTAGTAACATTAATGAAGACTCAGTTCTATTTATCCACAGAGCTTTAATAAATGAGATTATATTAACATCTGTGTTTATGTACTATTTTATGTCCAAAACAAGTCTAAAGGTCATTTTATACTTTATTCATTTTGTAAGAATTTTTTTTTTTTATCCCAAATTGCCAAGTTATACAATGATTTTTTTCAAATCTGCTCCAGTTCTACACAGTCAAATCAATTCTAAGCAGTAAGTTTCATATTGACTCAAATTTTTGGATAATTGTTTTTTGGTAAAAATGAAGTATAAAGTTAACACCAGAAACACTTAATTTTCTGGATGTGCTGTTGATGGACACATCACAAAGCAAAGGAAATGGAGGAGCTGCTCACAGCGGGAAAATAAAAACACTGGTCATAAAAACACCTTTGAGGAAACAGAAAAAAATCTTTTGAACAGACGTTTTTGCTGTGTTTGTGAAGTCAAATTGACAGTGACACTCCAAAGCTTTGGAACACATTGCAACATTTCCCGTCAGAATATAAAGAACTGAAAAAAAAAACAGTTAGTGTGCCAGTCAAAACAAACAGGAAAAGCAGTTTTTTAATTAGCTGCCTGCTCATTCAAACCTAATCAACAGCCAATCAAAGACACAGGCTTAGCGATGAAAAATTACATTATGAAATTAAAGTGTTGGGGGTAAAATAGCATCATAAGAAAATGTCCTTCTCCCCCAAAGTGTCTGTGGGTAAAAATGTAAGTTATTATTATTATTATTATTATAAGAAAAGAGAACTACAATTAACTGTTATTATGATATAGAAACATTTTCATTTTATTTCACATTGTCATATTTACTATATGTATTAAACACTCCAGGCCTCCATGCAGTCCCTCTACAAAGTTAATATTTAGCTTGTCAGATAGGTTCACCATTTGTAATGAATATTTCTTCCTCAGGGGCCCACGACTTGGATTCCATCCGATTATCAACATACAGAACAGCCTGCAAACTCAGATTTGTGCAGAAGAAATGTAACCGTGAGTATGAAGCATGTCTAACTGCACGACTCATTTTTTTCCCCATGAACGTGTTGATTTACTGTTTCTCTGTTTGCTCTCCAGTGCACCTGGTTGATATCTGGAATGTGATCGAGGCTTTCCGAGAGAACGGGCTCAACACCATGGACCTCACCGCTGAGCTCTCTGTGGCTCGCCTAGAGATGGTACTGTCCACCATTTTTTACCAGCTGAACAAACGCATGCCCACCACGCACCAGATCAACGTGGAGCAGTCCATCAGCCTGCTGCTCAACTTCCTCCTGGCAGCCTACGACCCGTGAGTAACCCGTCACATGATGGTCGATGGCTGGTTGTGTACTTTCACATCTGAGGATTTGACGTGAGCTAATGGGGTGTGCAGTGGGATTCTCATGTGCCTGTAAGAGAAGATACAGACTATTTACCTTAAAATTTAAAATATTGTCACAACATACTAGTGAATAGTGGATTCTTTTGTGAGGGGTAAACATGTTGTAAGACGATTATCACTGTAATTTCAAGTTTTTTTAAAGGTTGTGCCAAAAACAAATTTTTTTTTAAAGACTTTGACCATAATGTAAAATGTATTTCCTCTTTTTTAATAGGGAGGGCCACGGCAAAGTACCTGTCTTTGTTGTGAAGATGGCCGTAGCAACTGTCTGTGGTGGGAAAATTCTGGATAAATTAAGATGTAAGCTACACAACAAAACCTTATTTTGCTTTTAATTGTGAAAAATTTCAGTTAAAGTCAACACTTTTACCTGCAATAAATCAGCCTATTGTCTCTGTAAAGTTCATACTCTTCTTGGTCTAAGTAATGTATTGCATTGTAATTTATAATACAAACCTCTTGCAGCTGTATTTTCTGCATCTCTTTCTGCAGAGAAGAGGTTGCTGGGTTATCAGGGGAGAAGTCATTATTTGTTTTCCGAAGGATTGGGTTTATTACATAATCTACTAAATCTGTGGGTGCACTAACAATAGTTTATGAAAGAAAAGTAGGAGGGCTGTGTTGTTGGTGTATTATAACGTCTGTTTTGAATAACTGCTTTACTTTGATTTGTTTTCACAAATAAGTGGGATAATTGCTTTGTGTAATGTTATAATTAGCCGACTGTGGTGGCAATTAGTTTGATTCATTCGTGTAATGTCTCCCCGCACTGTTCCCAGATATTTTTTCACTGATATCGGATTCCGCTGGAATAATGGTGTATGCACAGTTTGACCAATTCCTGAGGGAAGTTCTCAAATTACCCATGGCGGTTTTTGAGGGACCTTCGTTTGGTTACACAGAACAAGCTGCAAGAACCTGCTTTGCACAGCAGGTGAGGACCTTTTAACCACAGAGTGCAATGTTTTAGTGGATGTGTGATTGTTTTAGCATTGACGTTGTGGGTGAAACTCACGTCAACAGAAAAAGGTCTCCCTCAACACATTCCTCGATACGTTGATGTCAGACCCGCCCCCTCAGTGTCTGGTCTGGTTGCCACTCATGCATCGGCTGGCCAACGTGGAGAACGGTAAGACAGCACACAAAATATTTATAAACCGGGAGGGAAAGCTAGTACGGCCGGGAGGATGTAAAGTTCAGCCTTGCATTATAATCTTGAGTCATCACATGCACACAACACACACCCAGTGAAAACACCCCACAGGGACCTTACATCCTGTGCGTGAGTGTGATGCACTCATCATCACAGACCACCTCCATGTGAGCAGATGAAACACCGTGACATCTTTACACATCTTCAGTTTGACGCTGCTTGTGTTGATTTTTTTGTTCAGTCAACGTTGTATCATCAGAACAGGCTCAATATCCCTGCACATCTGTCCTTAAATTAATGGAAATTAATCCTGTACTCACTCACTGCAACGTGCAAAAAATCTGGGTTGCCGTCACATCTGTTTATGTGCATGTGCGTGTTCATGGGTGCGTTTGTGTGTCTGACCCCTCCTCTCCTCCCTGCAGTCTTTCACCCGGTCGAGTGCTCCTACTGCCATACTGAGAGTATGATGGGCTTCCGCTACCGCTGCCAGCAATGTCATAATTACCAGCTCTGTCAGGACTGCTTCTGGAGGGGGCATGCCAGCGGTTCCCATAGCAACCAGCACCAAATGAAGGAGTATACGTCATGGGTAAGGAGGAGGAGGGGAGGGGGTGTGTCTGCACTGGACCAGTCATTGTGGCTATTTTCGCTCCGCTTCACCGCAGCTTGAGCGACGGCAAATGCTGCGACGCAGGTGACAGTGCTGCTGCCATGACGTCGCCGTGTTTTCTAAGAAGACATTAGCGTCTGCACGTCCTCAGAAATCTGTGCCTCACTCCCGTGTTTCTCCCCCAGAAATCGCCTGCTAAGAAGTTATCCCGCGCACTCAGTAAGTCACTGAGCTGTGCATCCAGCAGAGAGCCTCTTCACGCCATGTTCCTCGAAATGCCAGAGAAACCTCTCAACCTAGCTCACATTGTGTAAGTTCACCTCCTCTCTTTTAATTCTCCGTAACACAGAAAGAGAGGAATCTGTAATCAGAGAGGTGTGTTATTTTCAGGGCCCCTGATTTCTGTTTCACATTTTGAAATGCTTGATTTCAACCCCCAGCTGAGATTGATCCTGTAGCTCCCTCTGAGTGTCAAGTATTGGTTCCACTGATCAATGAGCCTTAATTATAGCCTTGGGAATGATTGTAATCTGCAATGCTGCTGCTACCTTTTCATTGACTTGACCGATGTTTTCTATTTCCTTATAAATAATAAAACCAAAGTCTACACAGACTTTATAGCTCACTGTCTGTTAAAGGCTAAAATAGGCATTAGAACATAAAGTCCCTTATGCTTCTCAGAACTAGAGTGTTTGCTTTGTCTATATTTATTCTGTAAAATGTAAAGGAGACATATCATGTTCAGGTTCATAGTTTTAATCTAGGTTATCACTTGATAAGGTTTATGTGCTTTAATTTTCAGAAAATGCAGGTCACATGACATCACAATGATGCAGACGTATCAGCTGTAGTACCGACAAGGTGTTTCTGGAGAAACAGTGTTTCTGTGTTCTCTTCGCTCCATTTACTGCAGACTTTGGGCTTTTTAAATTTGCTGACCTACAAAAAAACATAATAATTCATATGTTTCAATTAGATAGTTTTCAATAGATGCACAATATCTGTGATGAGATTACCAGTCTGGTTTTTAGTTTCTTTGTTTTTCTATTTTTATGACTGCAAGTTTTTTACATTTAGTAAAGTCTTTGAGCTGATTGTAATAAATTACATTCATTTCCTTCCTTGTTTTTTACTTTCCTTGAAATAGAGACACGTGGTGAGTTCGTTTTGATTATTTGATGCACCACAAAATGTATTTTGTACATTTTGCTCAAATTACATCCTTTGTGCTCATTGTGCTAATCACAGTGCCATCCCTCCTCATGTTCCCACAGTGTCCATCATTGGTTTCCATCCAAGCACTCGCTGTGTTTGTTGATCCGCCCGTCCGTTCCTCAGTTCATTGCACGTTTTCATTGTTGACTAATTATATCCCACTTTGTTGCCGCGTTCTGTTACATGTACAGAGAGTTATCTCATGAAATATTCATTCGGAGATCACTAGTAATTCCCCAAAAGACCAAAGCTTTTCCTTTCAGCATTTTAATAATTTTATTTGAATATAAGTTATAATTTATTATTTATCCTCTCTAGGCCACCAAGACCAGTGAACATCACCAACGACCACTCGCTCTCCCACTCCATGCCGACATCAGGGAACCCTTACTCCACCAAAAAGTGAGTGCAACAGCAGGAACAATGGATGTCCTGGATTTTTACAACAGCTCTTTTCAGTTTCCCGTGTTCCCTGAAGGCCACATGTCCTGTAGACTCTGTGACCCACACTGTCTTTATTTTATCGTAGCGTGTGTGTAAGAGAGAGAGAGAGAGAATGTGTGTGTGTGTGCTTTTATTTTGTGGTTTCCTGGCGCTGAATGTAAATGGCTTGCCTTCCAGCAAGAATAATGATGTTGAGCAAAGAAAGCCCTTGACTGTTGCTGCTCCGCATCTGTTTAAAGGGAGAGGGTAAGTGACACAGGTGTGCACACGAGAATGCTTTTGTAGCTCAAATGCATGCATGAACTAATATAGATAATAATCATAGGGCATAAACTAGAGTGCTTATCATTCTAAGGAAACTATTAGCGAGCCAGTTTTCTTGGAGAGGGGCTTATATTGTTGTACTCAAGGGGCTGTTTCAAAGACGCTAGATGAAGCATGCATCATAAAGCTGGCCATTAGTTTAGCGTCTCTATTCTCTATCTTTTCAATCACACAGAAATGGGGAAGTCTAACTGCCAGTTTTTGAAGTTACAGCACTTGAAATTTATATATTCCCAAACTCATGAGAATAGATTTTACCTGTTCAGATGAAACAGGATTAAGCCTTTTTTCAGTTGCAGTTTGTGTTGTATTTTGGAAGATTAAAAGAAATCTTTGAGCTGCCCTGCACCTGCATTTGATGAAGAAAGCAGAACACTACTGCCTTTCATAACGTATATAAAAACATACGAATGATGTGACGAGTGAGCTGTTCCGCAGGTTGTTCCTGATGTGCATGTCAGAGTCTCGTACACTGCGGCTCCTGTTTGCAAAGCCTGCAAAGAGCTGATATAATACAGGGGCCTTCAGGTGATGTGCCCTTTGCTAGTCCACTGGTTAGTGTTTGCACACTAACTGAAGAAAGTCTGATAACATTCCGTAAGATGCAAATAAAGTTCATCAAAGGGCCTGAAACAGTAGATTAAACTGATTTAATACTGTGGAGGACTTGTGATGCTGAGATTTGAAAAAGGTTTTGGCAAAATCAAAACAGAGTGACGCCAAGATTCCCTGACTTTTAGCCTCTAATGTAGGTCAAGCTCATAGACTGTATACAAAGATGGATGACACGACTGCTCTTCATGACTAACATCCGAGGCTGAGAATGGTCAAGCATGTGTATTGTACTACTGCCTACAATGAGTTTGTGATTTCGGACAAAACCTCTTTCTCTTGTCTGACCAATCGGACAGATTGACGTCCTTATTCGTATCTTTTTATGTCTAATTCTGACTAATTCTTTTCTCCTCCATGGAGTCCACCTTGGAGTAAATTGACTATCATCTGATGACGAATTAGCCTCTGGGGGCTACAGCCAATATTTTGGGGCCTCTGTTGTAGACAGCAGATATCTGGGTTGAGACTCCATCTTCCATTTGCTGTAGACCATTTACAGTCCAACGAGTCCTCGTGTTTCTCCACCAGAAACACAAACTGCGATATATCGGACGACACAACATTTTGGCTATTCTCCATGAACTGCTTTCTGCATATAGCCAATACATTTCAAACAATGTGTTCTGCCTGTTTTAAATGTGATCAAACTATAAATCCAAAAGGAAACCAGAAGGCTTCCGGCCCATATTCACATGTAGAATCTGTCTATAGAGATGACTGTGCTGGTTAGCATGGCTGCTACAGTACAGCTGTGTGTGATACAGGTGGAGCAGGTGGAAAGCCTCTTTATTGATCCACCAATAAAACTGTGTGCATGCCTGATAAATCTTTGGGGCAGTTTGACTTAAATATAATAGTTTTAATAACAGAGCACTGAGTGGTTGATGCTCGTAGAACGTAAACAGTGCATGCAGCTTGTAGAGTTCATGGGCATGTCCTTAATCGTGCTCCGGGCCTTCATTGGCTGGGTCTCTCCCGAACATAATATGGCCTTGTTTCTCTCTAGTCACCCATGAAAGGCTGCTTTTCCAGCCACTCTCCTCCTCCTCCTCTTCCTCCTCTCTTTTGTTGTCCTCTCTCTCAGCTTTCCCTCGTCCCTCTGTTGTCACCTGTGTAACGTTCTGTTTTATGTTATGTGGAACCCTGCCACTGTTCCAGGTTGAACTACAACCTCGATGTTGCCGATAGACTTGCTGACGAACATGCTCTGATTGGCCTCTATGTGAATCTGCTCCAAAACAACCCCAATACATGGTTAGTTGGTGCGTGCTGCTGTGTTTGCCAAACACCAGTGGAAACTATGTGCTCTGCTGAACTGCCACCTCACCACTCCTTCCCCCTGATCTAACTTCACTCTGGATGTTACAGGCTGCATGTTGTCAGAATAGTAACCGCGACCTTTGACACTTCTGTCAACACATTATTGCCATTTAGATTTTTTTTTTTTGTCCAAAATGGTATCAAGAGGAAAATGTAGATATGATTTGATTCCATTTTTAATATTTTGAAAAAATACTTAGCAGGTATATATGAGGGGCAGATTTGTTTGTTAATTGGCACCTTTTAAACACTTTTAGCTGCAATTTTCTTCCTTATGAACTCATTTCTGAAACATGTTTGGTTCGTTTGATCTGTAAACGCTGCATATTAATGAGAGTATTGTATCCCCCCCCCCCCCTGAGGCATCAATGCTTATTTCCTCAGCAACATGAACATTTTGTCAGCTGTGTGTGTGCGTGGGTGTGTGTGTGCGTGAGTGTGTGCATGTGTCAGTGATGATTAAATGCCATCTATCATTTTCGTCTACGTGTGTTATAGTTATAGTTTAAGCTCTTTAACCACCCCCAACATCACCATCAGCACACACACACATTTTACACAGATACACATATCCTCCTATGTGAGTACATTTGTGTGTGTGTGTGTGTGTGTGTGTGTGTGTGTGTGTGTGTGTGTGTGTGTGTGTGTGTGTGTGTGTGTGTGTGTGTGTGTGTGTGTGTGT